TGTTTTTCACGAGAGAATCTATCACCTTTCTTGTAAATCGTTATGATCACCGACTCACACCATCCAGCTGGAACCTCCTCTCTTTCCCATATTGAGCCCAAGAGTTTTGTCAACTCCAAGACTAACACTGAGCCTCCATCCTTAAACGCTGGTGGGAACAGCCCATCTGAGCCAGAGGCCTTATGCCTTTTGAGAGGAGGAGGACTAGCATCAACTGGGAGTATTTGTCCAGTCGAGGCGGAGAGTTAAAGCTAAGGTGTCGATGAGGGCCAGTTGAACTGAGCCTTGAAATGTTCATCCCAACGATCAAGACGGTGTTGCTGATCGTGAATCAGTGTGCCATCGGATTCCTTAATTACCTCACTTACGCCTATTTTCCTAGGACCCGTATTCCTAATTAGATGGAAAAGGTTACGACTATTACCATCTCCATCTCTTTGCACTTTTCTACCCACCACTTCTCGCGGTCATTTCTCAGACTCTTAGTGAGTTGGCGTTTAAGGGATTTGCGCGCTGTGTCGTATGTGGCATCCGGAGGAAGGGTTCTGCGGGCGTCCATCAGGGCAACCAAGGTCGGCGATATCCATCGTTAACATGTTAACATCCATAACGGAACAGTAAGTTTTCGTTATTTCGAATGCTGATCACGGTAAGCTGTGTGATAAACGAGGATAAGCAAACCCGGAGGTGAAAATCGAAGATAAAACCTTCATTTGAATGCAGTCTACAATGGCTCGCTTCAACACGATGATAAGTAGATTGAACGGTAGATAATATGTTCCTGAAATACATTACATTGTGGTCGAACTAAACACGGGTACAATTTTTGTAGGATCAACAAAACACGAACAACACCAATTAGGACAAAACAAAACGGGCAACAAATTCGCTGAGAGAATAAATAAAAGGATCAAAACGCTATCCGATGCAGCAGACAGGAAAAAACACTTCAAATGGCGTAAAAGGCATTTACTATGGACTAACCAACTCCGCAAACGACTGCCTATTACCTCCCATCCATCCACACACAAACACACACACAGGCAGGCGCTTTGACAGGAATACTTACTTAAATGCACTTCGAGGATCATCACTCTTGATACGGACCACAGCATTGTACTCCGCGTGCAATCCGGCCACGCCTAATTTGACCACATGTTCTACGAGTTGTTCTACTGTGAACCAATAGTCGTCTAACGAGAACATATCCACCGGATCACTATCACTGTCTTCGGAAATCTCATACAGATCGTCATCTTCCTCCTCAACCTCCTCGTCCAGGTCATTTTCATTGTCCTTGTCTACATCATCATCATCGTCGTCGTCATCATCCTGATCAACACTGTCATCGGCATCTTCGTCATCGTTCTCAGTTCCTTCATCCATAGGGATGAATTTCTCTTCTTCCTCTCCAGTTATCCGATCGAACACGGTTGCAGAATTTTCAACTAATTCCCGTTTTGCAAAATTCATCGAAGGGAGTGATTCTTCCACCTTGTTCGATTGCACTGGATCGGTGGAACAGACATCCACCACCACAGGAACTGATTTACTTGGCGCATTCTCTGATACGGGAGATAGTGCTTTCTCCGGTGAAGTAGACATGGGTCGGACCACATCGCCTTCCGGGACAAGCGGACAGCTATCGGGTACAGAACAGACCTCAGGACCACGCTTTTCTACAGGACTATCCAGTTTCGGACCCTGATGAATGCTGGGACCATGCGGTCGTCCTA